AAAACCATTATACCCTGATTTCCCATTTTCAATGGGTTCAGGGTATAAAAATAATGTCTGGTGCTAATAGTATCGAATTGCAACGACTGGTTTCTTTCACAGGTACAAAATTATATTTTTATACCTTGAACCCATGGAAAATGGGAAATCAGGGTATATTGGATTTGTTGATATGTATGTAACAGACAGAAGGAGGAGTGTATATATTCTTGATCAGGGCGACGAGCTGAGTCGATTTATCCCTGTCCGTTTGTCTGTCTGTCCGTTTGTCTGTCTGTCCGTCTGGCCGTATGTTTGAACGCGTCGATCTCATAAGATAAAAGAGCTAGTAAATTCAATTTGTTTGTTTTAAATGTCCGTGAATACAGCACACTCCTACATCTTTGGAGCTAGACTCGCCAAATTTTAAATGTGTATTTATATGTACTTAATAGAGCTTTTATTATGATTCACCTCCACCCCTAAATCCACCCCCACACCGTTAAATTTGTAAAAGGTGTATTTCTAATACTAGACACTTGTGCTTTGGCAGATGCATGCATTTCAATGTTATAGTCACGATCTGAAGTTTCACGAAGTTAGTCCATCAACAAAAATAGTTAGTAACGTATTAAATTCCCGTACTAAACATACACTGCAGCCCATACGTGTTTATGCGTGCGTGCTGTGTGTGTCCGTGTGTGTGTCTCTTATGTGAGCAGACAGACGCGAAGAATCATTGATATATCAGTTCCTCGTAGGGTTAAGGGGATTTCGTAGTCGAGTAGTCTCGACTAAAGCTTTCTTACTTGCTTTAATATATGAATTATAAACAAAATTTTATTAGCTTCGGCTGATGCAGTTGAGGCAGCTATGCTTTTAATATGGACGGCGCAGAGCGCACACACAAACGAAGCGGATCGCTAAAGGAATAAAACAGGAAGCAGAGAGCAGGACCAAGAAAATCAATTGATTGCGATGCTGGCCGGTGGCAGCGCAGAAGTTGGAGCCTGCAGAGCAACTGCAATGTCAATGCCAGCGGCTACAGGACACCAGCAGACCGCTAGAGCCACGCCCAAACAAATGCGAAAAAGTAAAACGACCCAGCCAGGCATTTTGGCACGCAGCAATGCCGGTGAAGGTGGCCCACGCAGTGCCATCACCTCCTCCTCCTCTGCCTCCGCTAAGACGGCCACCATAATGACAGCCAGACCAGGCGGGGAGAGGGGGAATCGCACTATTGTGTCGGGCGTCGGCAAAGGTGGCTCGTCCGTGGGTGCCAAAAAGCAAGAGAATGTCGGTGGCTTCGTTGATGGAATCGAAATGTATCTCGGCCTAATTGGCTGGCGTAAAAAGTGCCTATACACATTGCTGTTACTGTTAATGCTGCTAATCATCACAAACTTGGTGCTGACATTGTGGATACTCAAGGTGATGGAGTTCTCGACGGTGAGTAAAGTAGTAAAGTAGTATATTAACCCTTGCTCCTCGGTTAATCCACCTTGTTATTTCAGGATGGCATGGGCCAACTGAAGATCGTTCCAGGTGGCATCCAACTCACAGGCCAGACGGTCATTATGGACATGCTGCGGGCATCGACAATACGCTCAAGGCACGGACAGCCGATATCCATAGGTAAGTTCTTCCCATAAATGCTTAATATGAATACTTGTTAAAATATGCCGGGATAGTCCCGGTCATATTTACTTTATACACTCCATTTGGTTCATTTGCTGTACGCTGAAATCAGGATTAATGAGAAGTCTAATTAAATATGGAGAAGACAATAAGTTTGCAGTACATCAGATCAGGCAGGAAACGCTTTGTGTTCTACTTAGCCTAGTAATTTGTTTCTCCTCTTGCCAGCCTAGAGGCAACTGCCTCCAGTTGAGCTGGACCTGTCCACGACAAATGTGTGCCGTTGTCACTCGGGCCGTAAATCAGTAGATTCGCAGATAGGTAGCCGGTAAAAGTTCATACCTTTGCATGCATACGCGTACGTGTGTACGTACGTTAATATGCATATGTGTCGGAATGTTGCCACTGACATCCTGCAAGGCGTGAATGGACAAGCGGAGGTGGTATCTTATCAAATGAGATCGCAGCTGTTACCGCTGCGGTCTACAGCAATCAAGCGATATACAATTACAGATAGTCAGCACATACGATATCCGTGGCTCAGCCAAAGAAGACGGATGAAGGCAAAGGTGCGGCCACATGTAAATGTGCCCCCCTGTTTCCCCCTTGCAAAAACATTTCGTTCTAGCAATAGACGGAAAAAGCCGCACAAAAAGGACAACTTCATGGCAAAGCGCTACGCAATCTGGTTAGGTTTTTCACACTACGCCAAGGCAGGCAATGCGAATTTTCGCATTTATTTATTTCGCATAACTGACATGTCGACATATACGTCGTATACATGTACGTAGGATTGACCTTTGAGACTGTAAAAATCATATTTAAATGGAAAATAATATATACAATTTAGCATTTTCTAACGTCTTTCTAAAGTAGTTCGTATAAATTATATCTCTTTCCTGCATCTCTGGCGGCGCCATCAACAGAGTCCTCACGTAATTTTTCAATCAATACACGTGACCCGAACGGTGTGCTTGAGAATCATTTATTCTTGGGGCATGATAAGTTTGAATGTCTGTCAGCGGGATTTCGCATCAACGATACCACCGGACGAAATTTATTTTCGGTAAATCGAAATCGAGTCACTATCGGAGCGCACTCGCTCCGCATCGAGGGAGAGGGTGGCGCCATCTTCCGGGAGTCCATACAAACACCGCACATTCGTGCTGAGCCGGGCCGGGAGCTCAGGTAAGTGTTCAATACCTATGACCCACTGTAGTGTGCCGTTGTATATATGTCTATAGTTGTATATATAAATATATGTGTATATATATGCATTCGGGTCTTTTTACAAAGGCCTCTTTACATGTCAGTGCATGATCATAATTGATTTATACAATTATATTGAATGAAATGCAATAACCTGTCTGTAATAAATACATAAATATGTCCATTTGACTTAAAATTTGTCAGAGTAATTATATCAATTGAAGGAAGCCCATTATGCATACCAATCAAACTGAATGAAAACCGGTAAAAACGTTGACTTCGCAGTACGGACGACTAGATACCCTTGGCCATGCTTGTTAGTTTAGTAGTCTAAGAGGATAAGTTTGCATGTGTACGTGATCAAGCCAAATCTGATGCACATGCTTGAATGAAAGGAAGCCCTCGGAGTGCGTTACCCATTACGTGACGAAGTCATTATGGTAGCACGATGGAAAACAATGCCCAGCACAGAGAGCCATTGGAATGCCGCAGCGAAATTCCATACAGTGTTGAAATTCAACAACAGTAATAAATTTCGTAAAGTCCATAACACACATCTCGCATACATACCCATGCATATATATATATATGTATATATATATATATATA